TATTTTAATACTTCAACATACTAAGACATTTTGGACAATTCTGTGCTTCCAATTTTGTGGGAGCAGTTTGGGGAAGACTCACGCAGCAAAGTCCATAAAAACATAGGTGGGTGAGTTTGGTGTAGAAGAACTTGACTGAACTTTATTAAACAAGCATCCAGGATCACAGTTATCACTCATTATAGTTTGGTCAGATATTCTTTTAGATAATCATAACATGTGTTGTTAACTTGCACAATATTGTAGAGACAGGCAACTTGGTAAAAGATTTTTGTCTTTTTATTAGCCTTGGCACAATAATTTTTTATATAATAAAATGTGATCCATTTGAAGTTGGTCATTTTTCAAACTGCAGATGTTTAACAAATTTTAACATATTACAGAGTTAAGTGATAAGTAAATGACAAGTGAATAGCAGCTAGACAGAAATCATACAGAGATAAGCAGTATGATTTTCCTTGTTTCTTAACATGATACTTATATTGATTATGAATTAGCATATTAAGAGGTTATGTGATTATTTTGTAAATAATTCTACCATATATTGAATTATTATATATAAAAACATAAATATACTACTTTACCAATAATAGTGTTATATACATAATGGACCCACATGAACGTGTGTATGTGATAGATTTAGTTGATGCAGGTAAAGAATGTATAGATGGTAAGTATATTGGGTTAGACTGAAGTCCCAAAAGCCTTCATCAGCACACGCTGTGAATCCTCAGCCAGTTCATTCAGGCAGGTCTTTAACATGTAGTAGGTGGTCCCAAAGGAAATCCCACCAGCTGCCAAGGATCCAAAAACAGGAATGTTGCTCACCAGGTACTCAAGAAGCATTAACCCACCTCCAGCTGCCTTGAACAGCAGGTTAATGACCACATCAGCTGTTATCTCCTTATTAATAAGGGGAGATTTGAGAACCGATTTCAGGTCTTCAAAAGGTACCCCTGTTCTGCCAGAAAGATTTCTCAAAGAATCGTCATCTAGGCAAAATGCCTTATAATATCTGGAGATCTCTTTGACCAAAATAGTCACATCAACAGCAACTGATAGGCCTGGGATGGGTATGGCAGCCATTGCGCCTGATAGTAAGGCTGTTTTCCAAATGTCTGCCATCAAAGCTGCCTTCTTTTTCTCAATGATTTTTAGGGTCGTATTGGGCAGAGACAACAGGAAGACATGCCTCTTGTGCTTGGGAAGCTCCTTCGCCATGGTCTCTTCAAGTAAAGGGAAGTCATAGCCTCCCAGTTCAAAGCTGGAAATCAGGAAGACTGTGGGAGAAGTTAAGCCCTGTTCCTTAAGACCTGAAAGACAGGGGGGAAACATGTCAAGCTGCTTCAAATTTCTTTAGAGCTCTAATAAAAAATAACAGAAAAATGTTTTACACCTAACCTCTGTTATCACTCTTATCATGTTTTGCCATGAATTATTCATCCTATCCTCTCCTACTTTTCTGTAAGGATTTTCATAGACCTTACCTTTCATACAGTCATCTCGGATTGTTTTTAATGTCTTATCACGGTCAAAGGTTTTCTTTTGTTTTTCTGCACTAATGTCATTATCAATCTTGGAGCGTACAAAATAGAAACACTTCTTCATTTTCTGGATCTCCAAGGCCAGCTGTACGTCATTGGACCTGAAACGCTCTGATGCAATGATGATGAAGAAATCATAGCGTTCAAATTTAACATCCTGAAGGTAAGTGTCTGCCTTGAATTTGGGGGTTCCGATTCCAGGTAGATCCCACAGCTGGACAGTGGGATGCTTTGGGTGGGGGTAAGATTTAGCATCCATGGTAGTCTGCACTGGACCAGTGGGGGCTCCGTTAATTTCATCATCATTCCGAATCCCTCGGAAAGCATTAACAAAGGTGGACTTCCCAGAACCGGACTCTCCAGTGATTGCAATGTTCAGAGTAGTGTGATCTAGTTGGTTAAAATAGTCTTGAATCTTTTCAGCTGCTGTAGCCAAGGTGCTGTTCTCCAGTGCCTCTCTGATATCTTTTACTTCCTCATCAGTAATTAAGTGATATTTTTCATCCATAGTGTTATGACAGATATTCAGGGACCCAAATGCGGTACAAGGAGCGTTTATTAAGGAGACAAGCAAACTGAAATGGATCTTGTTTCTTGGTCGGGGTAATGGAGCTGAAGAAGTCGTAAGCTGGGAAAGTCAGTCCTAAAGGAATATGAAGGACAGAAGGTTACCACACTGGGGAGGTCTGAAGAGATGGGGACGTGGTAGGACTGAGGCTCAGAAGGAAGGGCAGGTCAAGGCAAGACAAAGGAGACGAGAGAATTGCTCAGTAAGTGACATTAGATTAATAATATCTCACACTGAATGCAAGAAAGAGTGAGCTTTTCTGGCTAAGAGTTCAGGTGTTGTCACTTTGGGGCAACTGATTAAGCCGCGTCTGCACATGGGACGTGACATAGCTGATTTTAACAAAAACAATACAGTGTCATATAGCACACATTTCGATGTTCTTCTGTAAAATGCATCTCTTTCAGTTCTGTGATTCATATAATTAATGAATGTATGTTTTGTGAATACATGCGCGATGGCAGATGTTCCGGATAGATGAAATATATACGATAGATGAAATATATGTGCATATATATCTATACTGTATATCTTAGCCTGCATATGCAAGGATTATCTTATGACTTTCACATATAGTATAGTGTAGAGTGTTTTAAACACAATATCTTTGGTATACTCAGCAGTTAAACTAACTTACAACAAATTTCAGCACAAATAGTAACAAAAATTCAGGAAAGAATCACAGCAATCCCAAAACTACCATACAACAATGAGATCATCAGACCATGATGTAAATATTATGCATTATTGAAATATATCTGCTCAGTGTAGTCTGGAATGTCCTTGATCTTATTAAGGGTTCTGTGTCTGAGAGAAGTGAATTCCTCATTACATAACATGATCATATTGCCTGACAGGCTAGTAAATTTGGATTGTACCACCCACACAAGAGGGAGACGTAAAGAAAATGTGTGTTATTAACACAAGGACATATATTTTTTATTTGTATATTTCTTATTTATCTATTTGCTTTCTGAAAATGTTTCTTTCTTGTTTGCATAAGCTTATATTAAAATAAAATTGTCATGAACTTGGGCAGTTCTGGAGCGAGGGTGAGGCATCATGCAGGCGGGCACAGAATGTGGACGACCCACAGGACGAACGTGGTTTATTAACAGAAAACACTAGGAACACTACAATAACAAAATGGACCACGAGGGGTCAAGAGTAAAAGGGGGCGGGCAGATCACACATCAATCAACATCCATCACATACAATGACCCACTAGGGAACTGAACTCAAGCGGGAACTTAAATACAAAAACTGAACCGGGTAACAACAAGCAGGAGTGAGACATACTGTAGACAATTAACCAATATGGGAGGGCGCAAGGCAACGAGCAATCACACACAAGGACAGGCACAAGAACAGGCAACGAGTGAAACTAATAATTACTCAGAAACTAAACAGGGAAACTAGGAACTGACAAAGAAACAAGAAAAACAGAATAACAATGGGGAAATAAGACAGACAAGTAAAACACAACAAAGGCACAAAGCAAGAAACTAAAACAGAAAACAAACCACAAAATCACAGGAACTAGAAAAACTGATACAGGATTCAAACACACAACAGAGAGGTTAACAGGTAGCCGCAAATTCAGCTCGTTGAGTCATGCAGCCGACAGGGAGCTGGGGAAACACTAGAGACAACAGAGAGGACAGGATGGCCAGTGACACCTGCTGGCCAAACAGGGAG